ATATATATATATATATATATTTTTTTTTAATACATAAAAACATAAAATGACTAAAATACAAGAAAAATGACTAAAAGTAAAATTAATGGAAAATGGAGACAAAAATGGAAAATATAAACACTGTTTCAAAATATTAATAAAACTGTAACAGTATCTCAGTGATAATAAAATAACACTGTTCACCTCTAAATTATGCAGCATTTATGTCTACAAAACATAATACAAATATTGGGAGAAAAAATATTTTCAATTTATATTTGCAATCCAATGATCAAATAATTTATTTTCGTAGTTATTTTTATATTTAGACATTATCAAATACCTAATTCTGGCTGATTTGGAGATTGTACCCCAAAAAAATTGCTCTATATTTTCATATTTTTGTATTGCAATCATTTTTGACCGTGAAGATGTTTTTTTTTTGTAAAGAAAACATACAATTAATTGAAGAGGAACTCACCTGATTTTGTGGAAGATGATAATCTACTGTCCAGTAGAGAGTCATGCCTAGTGAGTAAACCACCATCTAAAATCAGAGCAAATAAATGCTACATTTTGTCTTGATTTGCCATAAACCACGCTTGGAAAGCTCATCTTTTTAAAACACTCACCACTGCTTCTCTCAACCTTCAGCGGGAAGGTCAGGCTGAAAACTGTCTACAATAATTGGAGGTCAGCTTACCTTCTCCGTGGCCTGTCTTCTGAAGGAAGGGTTGCTCTGTGACATTTCCGGGGAAGCGAATGAGCCCATGTCCTCAGATCGGCCGCAGCTTTTGAAGGCAATACTGCCGACTGCAGAAAGGAGCATGGAGCCGGGACTGATGACGCAGCACATGTTACCAGGATCTGGATGAAGGGAGGGAGATGAAATGGTGACAGATTATGTTGGCAATCAAGGATAAGTGCATGAAAAGAGTTGAAAGATCTCTCTACCTTTACTGGAGATGGAGATCAAGGTTTCTGCAGCACCGAGGAGGAGAGCCCAGACCTCGTCCTCCTCCAGAGGAGCTCCCCGTGACTCCAGCACCTCCGCCAGCGTCACAAATGTGCTCATTCTATCAGCCACAAGACACGCACATCACACAGTTGCATGACAAATTATGTGAACCTTTGGACTTCATAGCTTCACCGAAAAATAAGATTTTGCTGAAAATGTACTTTGGCCATCCAAGATGTAGATGAGTTTATTTCTTCATCAGATTTGGAGAAATGCAGCATTGCATCAGTGTCTCAGCAATGGATGCTCTGCAGTGAATGGGTGCCGTCAGAATGAGAGTCCAAACAGCTGATAAAAACATCACAATAATCCACAAGTAATCCACACCACTCCAGTCCATCAGTTAACATCTTCTGAAGCCAAAAGCTGCGTGTTTGTAAGAAAGCAATCCGTTATAAAGGTGTTTAAATCCATAATCCATAATAACAGTGAAAAAGTCCATCTCCTGTTGTTTCAAATCACATCAAAATCCATGCACCCTCATATTTGTTTAGAGCTGTTTTGGACTGTTTTGGCTTGTAAACGGTGCTTGATCGGTGCAGATTTCTCTCCTGATTCAGACAAAACAACTTTTTCACTGAAGAAAGCAATATTGTTGTGGACTCGTATATTTGCCGGAAGCAACATTTTGAAGTAAAAAATGTCTTAATGATGGATTTGTTTCAGCTTTTCACTTCACAAGACGTAAACTGATGGACTGGAGTGGTGTAGATTACTTGTGGATTATTGTGATGTTTTTATCAGCTGTTTGGACTCTCATTCTGACGGCACCCATTCACTGCAGAGGAGCCATTGCTGAGACACTGATGCAGTGCTACATTTCTCCAAACCTAATTAAGAAACAAACTTATCAACATCTTACATGGCCTGAGGTTGAGCACAATTTTAGCAAATTTAGATTTTTTGAGTGAACTATTCTTTTAACTTTTTGAGACGTCATTAGCCTAGGGATTCACAATTTTTTTTCCTCCCCGCACTGTAAACATTACACTGTTTGTTCACATATTATTGTGTTTTACTTGTTTAAGCAGACTATATTTAAATTGTTGTGGCTTAGTTGAAGATCAGATCCAATTTTATGACCATTTTATGCAGAAATCCATGGTTTAGGTTTTCTAAAGTCTCGACTTATTTGAGTAGCTGACACAAAAGAAGATATTTTAAAGAATTGTCAAACAGTCAATGGGGTCTAAAACAACACTGAACTCCATGTATGGACAAAAAAAAAAGAGAGACGTTTTTTTCTAAGTTTCTTCTTTTGTGTCTCACAAAATTGTTACATGTTTGGAACGACATGAAGGTGAGTAAATTAATGCATTTGCGTAGATTGGCAAGCTATAATTAGCTAAAGTACAGTCTCCAGCACACCTCTTTAATTAATTACCTCTTTAATTACCAGTTAAATGGGGGAACTACCTTGCATAGCACGTAAGAGCCTAACTAACAGAACTAAACACTAAACATTTTCTGTGCTTCATGTCAGTCTCGTTTTCACACACTTGCATTCAAGCCTGGTGGATTCTGAAGTTAAAACACCATAAAAGAGCAAAATTAAGAGGAAGCTTTCATTGAACTGGAATGCTGTTTTATATGTTACAATTTCCTCCACAAGAATGAATGGGGCAGTAGGTTTTTCCAGTTGCACACAGTCTCAAAGAAAGGTTGATCGGTTCATCTTGTGCTGGAGTAATTAACCCTCAACCTGGCTTGCAAAGGTTCTGTCGAAATATTTTCAAGATTACTTTAAAGCATTTTATTCTACTACATAAATTCAATATACGTATATAGTGATTTGAATATATTTATATTTGCATTTATGCAGCAAAATATCCCTGTTAACTCTATAGTGGATTATTATAGTGGATTATCATGATTTTTGCCCCTCATGACTGTCACTATCCATGAGTCACTGGTCTTTCTATTACAAAAAACCCTTATATGTTGAAAAGAGTCATATGTAATACTATTTTTAATGCAGAGGATATTATAAACACCATGTATGAATAGGCAAAACACTGTAAACTTCATTACTGCGCCTGTCATTAATGGAATAACTGGATCTATGTACAGTAGGTTTAAAAATGTTTGCTAAGGGAAAATACATTTATTTATTTTTTTACTAAAATGCGACTAATGGCCATGCCATTCTAAAGGTCTTATATATTGAAGAATAATGCTTCCCACATCTCTGTGTTTTAAGACATTGACTATGTAAAGTTCAAGGATAAGTTGTAAAGCACGTTTACCTTTCTACATTCGATATATGCAGAGTTGTCCTCCGGATATCTTCAGCTCAGCATAAATCCTCTCAAGCATCTTGCTCTGTGCCTCGCTCTTATATACTGACAAATACACTACTTGTATAATTATCAATATCACCGGCTACACCGTTATTTTCTGGGAATATCCTCCATTGAAATGCTGTTGCTGCTGTGTTTTGGCTTAATTAGTCCTATTCTTAGAGTCCAGCCATAAGAACTCAATTGGATTAGAGCAAAGGTTTGACAGGTCAGTGGGCGACCAATCAGTGTGTCCAAACTCCCCACCAGGCCTCCACTAATCTGACCCAATAGATGTGAGAATATACTGTCCAGTACAGTATAGTCTTATGAGGCATTCTGGAAATGTTATGTCTAGTTAAAAAGTTTCAAAAAGATCCCTCGTATGTTTTCATTTTGTCAAATGAATTACTAAATTATTGTAATCAGCACTTACTCACTAAAGAAATAATAATGTTGCTCTTTTGTAACCCTTTTGCCCTTGACCTTTTGTCAAAAGGTGATATAGCAGAAACACAGAAAAGTTAATGCATCGTCATATGGCATCATCATACGAAACATGAGTTGTTGATTAAATGCACAATTTTAAAAGCATAACAATAAGTATTTGGATGCAAGAGTTTGAGATATTAAAAAGCATACACCCAAAATAAGTATAATTGTCATTTTTACCAATTACTGGTGAAAATCAGATGGTCAAATCTGTTTTCTCTCAGGTACATCTTAGTGTAAGCTTCACAGTGAACATTACTACATCACTCTCGTCAACGTAGTCCATACGAAACAACAAAACTATATCTTGACTCCATATAGTGGTTGTTTTGGGAAAATCCCAGGTATTTTGAGCAGTAGGATTATAAAATGTATGTGCTAATATAAAATTAAATTAAGTAGCCTATATAAAATTGCTAAATAAATCTATCTATCAGTACTTTTTTACTTAAGTACATAAAAAATCGAGTACTTTTGTACTTTCACTCGAGTAAAATTGAAAAAGGAGTACTTTTACTTTTACTGGAGTAATATTTTATTATACGTATCTGTACTTTTACTCAAGTACTTGATTTGTGTACTTCGTCCACCACTGCACACACACACACATATATATGCAAATTGGTGATTTTTTCCTGGCTGACAGTGTTTTCTGAGTAATGGAATGATAAAAAAAGAGAAAACAGATATCCACATTTCCCTCTGTAAAAACCTTTAACCCTAAAATGTATTTAAATGAGCCCATATTTAATTAGATAGTCTCGTTTGCAAACTTATTTCAGATAATTCGTAATACAAAACAATTGTCTTAATTGTAAGTAATGTAATTAAAATACCCCATTCACTCGTGGAGTCTTGTTGGTTTCTGAAGTTAAAATCTTGATATACTGTGTCATTCCGTTCTGTTGGTGAACAAAATTGTTTCTGTGATGTAATAGTAAAAGAAAGCCTAACTATAGCGATTCTTCTCAACTCCGAGACTCCGATGACGTCGGGCAAAACGCAGAAACTGTGCACGTCACGTCCACGCAGAGACTCAGTGACGTAGTACGCAAGTGTCCGCACTCCGCAGCTCAAGGCCTGCCAATGGACGGAAGCACACAGTGAGCGCAGAGCTTGTGTCTTCAAGTGGAGAACAAGACGAATACAACATACTGCTGAGCTCAGTGTGAAGACGCCAGAGCTTTTCGAAACCTGCTCTTGAACTGGCTCTGTGTCTTCTAAGAGGGTGAGTAAACGGCAGTTTACCCGCTGATGTTTTAAGGTGGGTTGTGGGGGAGGGTAACGCTGGTTTGTTGCTGTAATACACCTCAGTAAACACTCGCTGGTTTAAATTTGGTTGAATAAACATCTTGGTGTGTTCTTTGGCTTAGTGGACATCATTGTGTTTTACAGTATTGTACATGTCTATATGGCACATGGGCTGATACTGGTACCGTGGTACATTAATGGTGTATTAGTACTGTGGTACTCTGATATATACCATGGTACTGTATGTTTACCACATGCTGATTGATATACTATGATATATACATGGTATTTTAAAGAGTACCACGGTGTTTATGGTATGTAAATCTACTCTTTAGTCATTCTGCAGGTGACCTGATGTGTAAGGTTGAGATCCACGTCTAACATTGGCTGTGTCTCAAATCTTAGAGAGCTTCCCACCTTGACAGACAGCATTGTGTGTGATGCTCAAACATGCTGTCTGTGTAGGGAAGCTCCTTGAGTTTTGAGAGCCGTGTGTGTCCATGCATAACTCCCTGTGCTCTGATCGTGCAGATAGTCTTTCACTGCATAGACCGGTTGGATTTGATTTGGATTAAGTGTGATGGAGGTTTGAGGAGTCCGATCAGAGAAATTGAGGTCTTTGGTTGTGGATGGTGCTGTGAGATGTTGAATTCAGGGCATTCGGGTGCGGTTCTCCACATTATTTTAGGAGATGATTGACACTTTCCATTCACATTGATGTTAAAGAATGCAATATCTGAAGTTTGAATTAAAATGTAATTAATTGCAAAGTCCTGATCCCTCAAGTATGGACCATTAAACAGTGTGCTGAAATAATCGATAATAAAAATAATCGACAACAGATTTGATTATTGATTAATTAATAATCGATAAATTGACCAGTAGTCAATAAAATATTTCTGTGGACAAAGTGCACCTGAAAAATAGTGGAGGACACGGACTGAGTGGTAGAAGTTAACATTTATAGTCTGGTTATCTTAAACATGTAGTCTGGTTATCTTAAACACTAGTTAACATGTAGTCTGGTTATCTTAAACACTAGTTAACATGTAGTCTGGTTATCTTAAACATTTAGTCTGGTAATCTTAAACACTAGTTAACATTTAGTCTGGTTATCTTAAACATGTAGTCTGGTTATCTTAAACACTAGTTAACATGTAGTCTGGTTATCTTAAACACTAGTTAACATTTAGTCTGGTTATCTTAAGCACTAGTTAACATTTAGTCTGGTTATCTTAAGCACTAGTTAACATTTAGTCTGGTTATCTTAAGCACTAGTTAACATTTAGTCTGGTTATCTTAAGCACTAGTTAACATTTAGTCTGGTTATCTTAAGCACTAGTTAACATTTAGTCTGGTTATCTTAAGCACTAGTTAACATTTAGTCTGGTTATCTTAAGCACTAGTTAACATTTAGTCTGGTTATCTTAAGCACTAGTTAACATTTAGTCTGGTTACCTTAAACACTAGTTAACATTTAGTCTGGTTATCTTAAACACTAGTTAACATTTAGACTAGTTAACATTTAGTCTGGTTATCTTAAACACTAGTTAACATTTAATCTGGGCTTAAAAAAAAAACAAATCTGCCAAAATAAATTATGAATGAATGAACATATCTATATCATATAAATCTGATGTAATTTAATAATTTACAATTGTGAATTGAATTGTCTTCTACAGATTTACAGTCATACTGAATGCAATAATGGTTTTAGGTTAAAATAAACCAGAGTTCTTGCACTTTTGACTCCGCAAAAAATTTGTCAAAGACACTGTACTGTTGATATGCCTTGCGTGAAAACAATCACATGAACGCACAACATGAACATGTTAGATCGAGACTCCACGCCAGATAATTAAGATCCAGCCCCTGACGCCAGATCCTGTCAGAAAATATCCATTTTGTCTAATAACAGAACAACTTGTTAGCAGAGCTGCCGATACCCAAAACCTGTTAACAGCAAGTCTTGTCTGGTACCCACAAATACCTAAAACAAGGGTTTTACTGTCTTCAATCAGCCAAGAAGTTGACTGAGTAAAACCAGAGAAGAGCAGAAGCAGGAGACAAAGTGATGATGGGAAAAAAAGAGCAGAGTTTATTGTACAATCTTAGTTGCGTATGTGTCAATGCTCAGACTTCATCTGACGAACACAAATTGAACAAGTAATGCTATATCAACTGATTCCTACAACATCCCATAAACCTTGGATTTCCATAAACATTCCGTCTTATCTCTTATTCATAAAGACAAAACAGTTTATGAAACCCCACAATCATGAGATTGAACAATAATGAAAATGCATAAGCAAGGAAAATAATAAGAAATATAAATATTGAAGCATGATAAAATAATCAAATAATAAATTCTATAAATGACTAATGATTATGGATGCTTATATGAATAAATGGATTATAAATGAATAAACACAACACAAATGTATCAGCCTGGGTCATTTTTTCACAGTTCCCTGAGCAGTGTACCTGTTTAAATATGTATTTCTGCTTCAAGTCACTATAACGCTGATGCTGCATTAAGATGAGGCTTTGCTGCTGCTTCTTAGCTCAGATTCATCACCCGCTTTCCAAAGTGCATAAACTTTCATGGTAGCTCATGAAGAAAATAGATTGATATTTTGCACAATGTTTAGCTTGATAGCTATGCATTTGTTCTGAATTTCTCTTATCTAGTTAAAAAATAAAGCATGTTTTTCACTGAACTAAAATTGGTTTAATTAATATGTACAAAGACGAATATGTAGCAATAAAAGGCAAGATTTACGGATATGGATCTGTCAAGTTCCTGAAGTTCGCAGACGACACCACACTTATCGGCCTCTTCCAGTACGGAGACAATTCTGCTTAAAGACAGGAGTTTAAAGAGCTGGCTGTCTGATGCAGTTATAACGTCCTGAACACGCTGAAAACAGTGGGAGATGATCGTGGACTTCAGGAGAAACCCCCCTGCACTCCCCACACTCTCCATCATGAACAGCACTGTGGCATTAGATTAGATAGTGCAGTAGATTAATTCAGGTTCTGGGCACCAGCATCTCTCAGGAGCTGAAGTGGGACACTCACATTGTCAAGAAGGCCCAGCAGAGGCTGTACTGAGGCAGTACTACTGAGTAGTACAGTACTGGCAGTACAGTAGGCAGGCCTACTGAGGAAGTTCAAGCTGCCACAGGAGCTGCTGATACAGTCCTACTCTGCAGTCACATAAGAACAGTTTCTTCCCTCAAGAAATCCATCTCATGAACAGTTAACTTGGCAATAAACGTGTAATACACAACACTACTTATACATTTATTTATTTAACATGCATACCTCTTTTTACATTTCCTTGCATTTGTACACACAAATACAATCTATTTTATATATTTACATTGTATATTTTTAAATTTTTTAAAAATATATTATTTCCTATTTACTTATCCTATTTTTATTCTTTTTATTGTCTGTGTCTTGTCACTGTAATCTGTTTGTGCTGTGGAAGCTTCTGTTTCCAAAACAAATTCCTCGTATATGTAAACATACCTGGCAATAAAGCTCTTTCTGATTCTGATATTTTTGTATGATGTTGTTTTTAATCCGTTTATTGAAACCGTTTTAGCTACTGAAATTTAAATGAGAAACCCAGTTAAAATGCTTTAGTTTTATAAACTCATCATGAGTCGTGGATAATTATCACGATAATTTTATTTCTTCCAAGTTTTAAAGGCAGATTTCTGCTCCTAAGTGAAAGTTGTAGAAACCAGAGCATTAAATTGTAGTTACTCTTTATGGTCAGAATATGACACACACTTCACACACTTTTTGAATTCTTTACACTTTTCCAGTCATTTTTCCTTAATAAAAGAAATATCTTAATAAAAAAATTATTTCTTAGTTTCTGCATGTTCTAATGAGTGGCATTGTTTCAGATTATGAAACTGGTTTGTGTTCCTGACTTTGATGACGTGTATCTTCAGTGCAGTTTGCAGTGCTGGCTGCAATATTAAATATGTAATATTATATTATATGTAAATGTATGTTCATTATCAATAACAGTAACATCTGTAAAAATAGTAACAACCTAATTTTTATATGGTGAAATGTAGTTATTCTGACTGTTTGAGTTTTATTAAAATGAACCATTGGTCTTCCATAGTAGCATACATTTAGAAAATAATAACCACAGTATTGCACCTCAATATCATGGTAAAAATTTAACTTATATGGTTTCTAGGTATTTGTATGAAAAATACAGTTAGTATAACTGCACAAGCGCTATAGCTTAATCACAAAAAAAATATTCCATTACTCCTTTAATACATGTCTACATTAATGATATAATAAAATTCAATATAAATATATCCCACATTTCTGACACAATACCATGGTTCAGTTAGTGTTACTACAGTAAAATCATGGTAAATGATGGCGATTTGTAGACTGAAAAGCCTTCTGACTGTATCGTTGTGCACAGTGTTTCTCCTGTTTGTCAGTGCTGTATATCACAATAATTATTGTTATTGTTTTATCGCCCAGCCCTAGTCGTGAAAGATCATTAAACTAGTCGAATGGCACAGTTAGACTTTGGAAAACTTAATGGCCAAATAAAAATTGCATTACAATCATTGCAATAGGCAAACTGTAGCTCTTTTATATATATATAGACACCAAAATTTACAAATATAAGATGAATATGCAATATATCATTCCTAGTTGCAATGCTCTGTTGCATTATTTTAGTCTAGGATTCATACATTTGCATTTATGCATTTTACCTAACTTTGAAGGCCAAGTTCTTTTGAAAGTGTGTTTTATTGGCAAACCACATTATTTGTTCTTTCTTTTCAACGGCATAACCAAAACAAATTAAGGTTAAGATGTACTCATGCATTTCTTTCTTTTTTGTCTTTTCAGATTTTTGAAGGGGAAGTTCTTCTTGAATGCCCAAGACACAGTCAGAACGGTTTTCACCATGAACAGGAATAAGCGTGAGAAGGAATACTACAGCATAGATGTAGGAGATTCCACGTTCACCGTTTTGAAGCGCTATCAGAATTTAAGACCAATCGGATCTGGAGCACAAGGCATTGTCTGGTAAGTTGAATGGATTTATTATCAGCCTGTAAAATATGACAGAAACTGATTGTCATTAAGACGGCTCACGGTAGTAAGTGTGGTGAATGAAAGCTCGTGTTTGGCTTTCTCTTTGTCTTTTTAGCTCCGCGTACGACCATGTCCTTGAACGAAATGTTGCAATTAAGAAACTTAGCCGACCCTTTCAGAACCAAACCCACGCCAAACGGGCCTACAGAGAACTGGTCCTGATGAAATGTGTCAACCACAAAAATGTAAGACATGTTTTGCTCTGTCTCTGTCTGTGTGTTTATGTGGGTGTGTGTGTATAAAAACGTTTGTAAAGCTGATAAAGTCTCTTCTGCTCACCAAGGCTGCTTTTATTTGATTAAAAACATAGTAATATTGTGAAATATTATTACAATTCAAAACAACATTTTTTTTTGTTTTTGTTTGAATATATTGTCAATTAACAAGAACCAAACCCACGCCAAACGGGCCTACAGAGAACTGGTCCTGATGAAATGTGTCAACCACAAAAATGTAAGACATGTTTTGCTCTGTCTCTGTCTGTGTGTTTATGTGGGTGTGTGTGTATAAAAACGTTTGTAAAGCTGATAAAGTCTCTTCTGCTCACCAAGGCTGCTTTTATTTGATTAAAAACATAGTAATATTGTGAAATATTACAATTCAAAACAACAGTTTTTTTTGTTTTTGTTTGAATATATTGTCAATTAACAATTAATAGATAGGTGCGTAGGAGAACATACCAAAGCAAGCATCGTTACTCCAGTCTTCAGCGTCACATGATCTTCAGAAATCATTCTAATATGCTGATTTGCTGCTCAAGAAACATTTATGATTATCAATGTTGAAAACAGTTGTGCTGCTTCATATTTTGGTGGAAACCGTGATACGTTATAAATGTCTTTACAGTCACTTTTGATCAATTTAATGCCTCCTTGCTGAATAAAAGTATACATTTCTTAACAAATGTACTGACTCCAAACTTTTGATCTGAAGTGTATATATATGCACTTTTGTAGATAATTTTGTAGTTTGTAATTTTGTAATATTTTAGGTTGTAAGAATTTGATCATAGATCAGCTTGTGAACCACACATCAGGGCACAGCTTTTATGCATTATGCTTTCATTTCACAGATAATTGGCTTACTAAACGTGTTCACGCCTCAGAAGACACTTGAAGAATTCCAGGATGTGTAAGTTCATTCTGCTGTGATTTAAAAATTGTATTAATGGAAGTGAAATGTCCTTTGGCTTGTCAAATCTGTTATACAAAATATAAATTTGGCCTAGGAATAACTCAAATGGGTTAAATAACGAGATCTACTGATGATGTACATCATGTACAGTATATGCCACTGAAATGCATCTTAAAAGTCCTGCATAACTCACAAATCTGTGTGTGCATGCTTGCATACATGCTTGTTCATTTGTGTTCCTGCGTCTCCTGTCTGCAGGTATCTGGTGATGGAGCTGATGGATGCTAACCTAAGCTATGGGATTTTTTCACCCTTTTTATCAACTGCCAAAAATCATGAATATGATCAATAGTAATAGCAGACTTCCCCTCAACAAACAAGTTTTGAAAAATCCCTAACTCCAAGTATGAGCAATTAATACTGATATTTGTCTGTTAGCAATAGCAATAATTAACATTTCACTCTAAATAATTGGAAACATACCTCTTCTCCTTTGGCAATGATCTTTTTATGTGTTAGAGCCTCCTTAAGAACAGTGCCATCCACACCTAACAACTGCAATATCACAAACACACACACACACACACACAAACAGTCCAGTCCTTCAGCTTCATCAGGTAGCAACAAGAAGTACAGACACTGTATTGCTATATTTCAAAGCCTAATGAACTGGTTTGCTGTCTACTTTATACATATATAAAATATACATAAAATATAAAAAGCTCTCCCTCTGTAAAAGCACAAGAAAAACTAATGCTCAGTGGTTGTCAATAGAGTTTGAGTTTTAACATGTTGTTAAACTAATGACTTGATATTCTTGTACAGGAGTTTTCAAGCGTTTTGATGCTAAGGACCCCCAAATAGGATGATCACTTACAAGAGTCTATATTTTATAAACCCATTCATACTCAATAGAATAAAAATAATGCAGTTAATCACATGATTTCTGACCAGAAATATTTGTTTAAATCTGTGAAATATATATGGAATATTAAAACAAAAACATACAATTCATTGTTTTTCAGAATTTTGACAGCCCTAAAATATATATTTTGTATTTTTTTTTTCCCTCAAATATTTTGCAGACCCTTTGGGTTCCAAAAACACTGTAAACTCCTGCCTTAATAAACACAAAATTACATAGAAAGCAAATAATAATAAACAATTACTTTTAAATTAAATGGAACTATTTTGTATCTATATTTTAAGCACTTTATATATTTATCTTGAAATACTTTTATAATGAACATTTCCCTCTGCTCTGTTGTGATTAAAATTTGGCCAAAATAAGATATTTTATTAAGACAGCATAATTTTGCTGCCAATTATTTACAACAGCTTTCATGTGCAGCTCACAAGCTCTTTAGAACAGAACCCATGTTTCTAAGGGTTCTGATATTTTTTAAAAAGTTATTTTACACAATTTTCTTCCATGTTTTAATTTTAAGAGTAAACATTTGTTGTGAAGCACTTTGTTTGCCAAAAAATAAAAGGAATAGTTACATTTTCATTTAATTGCATTTTAAAATATATTTTTTTGTTTTCTGCTTTCTCTTGATTACCACAGTTATTAGTATAAATTTGCATTATTAGAAAAAAATAGTATAGACAACACAGAATTTCTCAAAAATACAATATTTCAGAGGGTCCTATTATTGTACGAATTAAAAAAACAACTATTAAATTGTTAAAGTTTCAATTGATTAGACTTGCTTTTTGAGTATTTAAAATGAAATTAAACCATTAAAACAGAGTCCAGAAGTATTGAAACAGAATTAGGGAAAAATAAAATGGAATTTGAAGTTCATAGGGCACTAAAAATTTAATTTTTGTTACATTTTTACAAAACTGTTGTAAAATTGCATAAGTTTAATTATTTAAATGTAACTCTTATAGAGCAAAAAAACAACAACAACGGAATTTTGGGAGAAAAAAAAAAATGCAAGGCCCTAGTTTTCAAACCGTACAGTGCAGATTCCCACCTGTGAGAATGTGACGTCCCTTCTGACCCCTGACCTCTTCTCTTGTCAGGATCTAAAACCCAGTAACATAGTAGTGAAATCAGACTGTACGCTGAAGATCCTCGACTTTGGCCTGGCCCGGACAGCCGCCACCGGCCTCCTCCTGACTCCTTACGTGGTGACGCGCTACTACCGTGCTCCCGAGGTCATTCTTGGCATGGGTTACCAAGCCAATGGTGAGTGCTAACCTGATGCCACTGCTTTGCAGCATGCCCACGTAAAGGGTCCCACATGAGCACATCCACACCATTCTGCTGAAAACAACTGCGATCTCACCAAATGGCTGTGCTGTTTTAACGTTAAAGCCCCTTGAGGGATTCTTTCATCCAGTTGAACTAGTTTGGAGTGGTTTCTGCATGCACAAGCACACTGGATGGGTTTGCCTGTAGCACTGAGCATCTAGATAGGAAAAGCATTACTCACCGAGTCTTACTTGGGAAGTGAAAGTGGTTCGCTGCAGTGCAAAAATCAATTTGAAGGCCAAAAATGCTGACGTTTAGTCCTGGATGTTAGCGCTGAGGAAAAATTGGCATGGAAAAATCTCAAGCTGTCGCGCTGCCCTTTATGCTTTGCTTATTTCTTCTTTTTTTCCTCTATGCTACACTGGTTTAGTGGATATTTGGGCTGTTGGCTGCATTATGGCAGGGATGGTGCGGCACAAAATCCTTTTTCCAGGGAGGGACTGTATCCTTGTTCGGCCTCTAGTTGTTTGCTTGGATTTTGTGCTGTTTTGTGAAGAGTAGGGCCTCTAGGGTTATGGATTATCGGGCTGTGATTCTGCCTGACGCACACTGAGATGTTTGCATGCACCTGTCACCTCTGTTGCATCCACATCAATGCTCCCTGTTCCTTATATATGTGTGTGTGCTTGTATTTCTGTTTTATTGTTTTTCGTTTGTAAGATTTTTGGCACTTTAATTTTGTTGTCATTTCATTTTTCAGTTGATGTCTGGTCTGTTGGCTGCATCATGGCTGAAATGGTCAGAGGTAGTGTGTTGTTTCCTGGCACAGACCGTATCCTTACCTGGTTGTCTTTACTGTCCCATTCTGAGTGTGTGTTTGTTTGCTTGGGGTTGTTTTTTTTTTTTTTTCCAGTTATTTTACCCTTGATATGTGTTTTGTCATTGATGTGCGAGACCTGATAAAAAAGAAGGTTAATAAAAAGGTAATATTTTAATAGAAGGTAAAATGTTCATGTGCTTCCTTACACATGAAAGTGTCAAGACACTTGGTTAACCCTGACTATAGTAAAAATCCCACTCCACATAACTTTTTACACGTGTGTGCAGCTCTAAGCAGCATTTTTTAATGTATTTCTTTTCATTTTACAGATATATGCAAAGTAGATAAAAAAATTAATAAAAATAAATAAGATTATTTATTACACAACACCCATAACCGTTTAATTATGCATACATATATTTCATATTATATTGGTTTCCATATTTAATTTTTTTAGGTGACATTATGCATATTTTCTCCCGAATGAATTATATAATTTATTCTACCACCATTTTTTGAAGGTCCATTTGCCATATATATTATATTAGCATATTAGAATGATTTCTGAAGGATCATGTGACACTAAAGACTGGAAATTCAGCTTTGATCACAGCAATAAATTACAGTTTACAGACAGTATATTCAGATATAAAAGTTATTTTAAATTGTAATAATATTTCGCAATATTTCTGTTTTTGCTGTATTTATGATCAAATAAATGCAGCCTCAGTTTTCTTGAGCAGCAAATCAGCATATTAGAATGATTTCTGAAGATCATGTGACACTAAAGACTGGAAATTCAGCTTTGATCACAGCAATAAATTACAGTTTACAGACAGTATATTCAGATAGAAAAGTTATTTTAAATTGTAATAATATTTCGCAATATTTCTGTTTTTACTGTATTTATGATCAAATAAATGCAGCCTCAGTGAGCAGAAGAGACTGCTTTCAAAAACACAAAACATGTAAAAAATAATTTAATTAAAAATGTGAAATATATGTAAAAAATATACACATATTTATATTTAAATTATTAATAACACTTTAAAAATTAAATTATTTGAAAATTTCAAGATTTAGATAATTTTAGATAATTTTTCACACACACACACACACACACACACACACACACACGTGCGTGCGCACACACTCTTGTGTTAATATAACATTTTCACTTTCAGTGGCGAAAGTGAGTGGAGTAACGATGCTGAAAAAGACTTGACGCGTCACGCCAGATCAGGGAAATGTTACATGCTACAGTCATTGTTAAATTAAGCGAGAGGTAAAATTAAAGAGGTAAACCGCTTAATTAAAGCTAATAATTAAAGCTCAAAGTGAAACATTCTATATATGTGACTTGGCAGTCAGGTAAGAGACTCAGTAGTTTTCCTTAGCATGTCATCTGAAGACATCGACCAGTGGAACAAGGTGATCGAGCAGCTGGGCACACCGTCTCAGGAGTTCATGCTGAAGCTCAACCAGTCCGTGAGGACTTACGTGGAGAACCGGCCCCGCTATGCTGGATACAGCTTTGAGAAGCTCTTCCCAGACGTGCTCTTCCCTGCAGACTCCGACCACAACAAACTGAAAGGTGAGGGATACGTCTTTAAAATTTAGACCTGCCATAAAGCTTTCTGTTGTTTTATAGTGCTCTGTTACTCTGTAAATATAGATTTTTTTGTAGCCTGCTATTAGAAATGGAAAGTTCTGATTGGATGAGCCATGTTCAAAGATGCAATAATCAGATACATGCAAACTTCTGACTCATAAACTACCAAGAGTTAGGCTAATGATGCTAGGCTAGTGTGTTTTGCTTGAATACCCAGCCCTAAGTGTATGCAGTGTTTAGTATATCTTCTTGCTACTCCATAGTTTGCAGCTCTAAACTATTACCTATATAGAAAAATTCCTGTTTCAAAATGAAATATGTCGACACAGGAAACTGTGCTTATCAAGCCAATGCATGCGATCTTTAACCATTGTAAAATTACTGTAATCCATGACTTACTAATGACTCGTTGCTTTATTTAAAGGCGCCTTCAGTTCACAATTCAATTTGGCTTCTCCAGACGCACACTGTTGTTTGTTTCCCTTCATTAAACTCTCATCAAGTCACAGTAATCCAAGAACAGCATGATTGTCCATGGCGAATTTCCTCTCAATTCAGGTCCTGATTTAAATGCAATTATTTTGCAGCGAGTCAGGCGCGAGAGTTGTTATCCAAAATGCTGGTAATAGATGCGTCTAAACGAATCTCGGTGGACGAGGCCCTCCAGCACCCCTACATCAACGTGTGGTACGACCCGTCAGAAGTGGAAGCGGTGAGTGCTTCAGTGTTCATTATTGGTGCTGGTTGACTTCAGAGTCCAGATGGGAGCTTGCGCTGCATGAACTCTCCAGAGAGAAGGACTGATGGAGCACCTGACGTCTTGTTTTCTTTCCTTTGTGACGTATCTGATTGACATTTATCTGCTCGGTTTCAGCCGCCACCGGTGATCACGGATAAACAGCTAGATGAGAGAGAACACACAGTGGAAGAGTGGAAAGGTGCGCTTTTTATTTTAAATCATTGATTGTCATAAAATCATAATATTTAGTCTCTGGCTAATTTAGCTAATTTCAATAATTGACTAATTTTATATCAAGCTAACTGTATATATCACAATATATGTATGTATGTATGTGTGTGTATATATAGGTATATATACACACACACACACACACATTTATATATATATCAATTTGATAAAAAAATTGGTAACTGCTATTTTTTTTCAAATACATTGAATCAAATGAATTTTATATCAAGCTAACAGTGTCTATCACAATATATTTATAATATCAGGAAATTCAACAAATAAAAAGATTTTTCAATTATTTCATGCATTTATTTATTAAATAATTTAATAATGCTTATTTTTGAATTTCATTGAATCAAAGGAATTAATTTTATATATAACAATATATTTATTTTTACAGGAAATAAAAAAAAATAAAAATATTTTCAATTATTTAATGAAATGTATCTATTAAATAATTCCATAATCCCTATTTTTAGAATCCATTGAATCAAATTATTTTTATATCAAGCTAATGATATGTAGCACTTTTTTTTTTAAGGAAATTCAACAAAGAAGAACATCTTTTAATTTATTTAATAACATTGATTTATTAAATTGCAATCTGATAATGCCTATTTTTGCATTCCATTAAATCACATTCTTTTCAAATGAAAGCTTTTTCGTATGCATGATTATTTTCTCTTTTTGTTTGGATCTTAATGAACACAAAGTGAAATAAGATTATACATCATGGCATCAGTGCAAAAAAAGTTTCCTGATGTAATTTGAGCTCTTCTGTATCTGTTCCCTGATCAGAGCTGATATATAAGGAAGTGCTGGACTTGGAGGAACGAACGAAAAACGGGGTTATCCGAGGACAGCCGGCCTCGCTAGGTTAGTTTCCTCCTTGATTTATGCATTAGGCTTTTCACACAACATTAATCCTGGGTTAATCTTTTTTTAAAGCGCAGGTTAAGGGCCGCTTATATTCAGCTTTAAAGTCAGAAGAATTTTTCATTGTATGGTAAAACAATTAAATGTCAAGCAAATTAATTCTTGCTCAGAAAGTAGTTCATATAATGTCCAATCAACCTTATTGACTGTGAATATTCGATTAAGAACATCAATCCAGGGTTTACTAATGTATGGGGTGAAATCTCAAAACCTGACTACCTAGGGTTAATTCATTTAAATTTTTATGAATTATTATTTATGAATACATTTTCCATTTTCAATCAGTTTTTACTCTAGTAAATATGTCGAACCATCTTAATTCAAGACTTATGAATCTTTAATTCTACAAATCTTTAATTCAAGATACATTTACTTGAAAAGCAACATTATTAAGACTTGTTTTCAGAGAATATGTTTTGAATTGTGTTTATTTTTCTTACCTGATGTTTCTTTTAAGCATAAATCTAATTAGAGGAAACAAATCTTAATGTCTTAGCCAATCTTCTGAAGAAAACTGATGCTGTAAAGATGTTGCAGTATTTTTACTGGTTAAAACGAGTCTGGGTTTACAGTTTGAAGTGTGAAAGGCCACATATGTGTCCCTGGAGCACAAAAGCAGTCTTAAGTCGCTGGGGTATATTTGTAGCAACAACCAACAATACATTGTATGGGTCAAAATTATCAATTTTTCTTTTATGCCAAAAATCATTAGGATATTATGTAAAGATCATGTTCCATGAAGATATTTTGTAAATTTCCTACCGTAAATATATCAGAACTTAATTTCTGATTAGTAATATGCATTGCTAAGAACTTCATTTGAACAACTTTAAAGGTGATTTTCTCAATGTTTAGAATTTTTTGCACCCTCAGATTCCAGATTTTCAAATAGTTGTATCTCAGCCAAATATTGTCCTATCCTAACAAACGATACATCAATGGAAAGCTTATCAGCTTATCAACTTTCAGATGATGTATAAATCTCAATTTCGAGAAATTGACCCTTATGACTGGTTTTGTGGTCCAGGGTCACATATGTTCACGGTATTTCAGCAGTACTTGGCTGATAAAAATGGTTTCTGTTTCTCATAGCACAGGTGCAGCAGTGAGCAATGACTCCCATGAGCCCTCGACGTCCTCGTCCTCCACAAACGACGTCTCGTCCATGTCCACCGACCCCACCCTGACCTCGGACACAGACAGCAGTCAGGAGGCGCCCGCAGGACCGCTGGGCTGCTGCAGATGACTATCCTCCTCCTCCTCCTCCATCCGCATCCACCCGTCACGCCAGTCTGGAAACACTTCCTCCTTTCTTTCTCAAACTCGCACGTTCTTTTGAATTGACAAAGTGTGAGAACGGAGGTAAGAGTTTTTGAGGGCATCTTCAAAGCTCTTATACCAAACCAGCATTTCTTTGATTGCTTTCGTTTTTTGCATCTGATTGAAGCTACTGCTACGGCATCTTGCCATTTGGATGTGGAATGATTTGAGTTTACTTGTAAAGATGAATGGGGAATATATTTTTGAGATGTTTTTTTTTTTTTTTGAGAGTCACTAGTTAGTGGAGGGTCGTTAAACGGCACATCCATTTCCTGGATGAATGAGTGTTTCCTCACTGTTACTGCTGTTTTGGAGTCAGTGGTGTATAAAATCGCAGTGTGTTCGGCGGCAGAGATGGTTTTTAATATGACCTGTGTACGTAACCACGATTTTAGATGGACGTTTTATTTGGTTGTCTTACAGAAACACTTTTTAAAGTGCTTTTAGGGTCTGTAAGCTACTCTTTTCGCTTTCTAATGTCATTGCACGACTGACTTCACATAGTATTCTCTCTGTAAAAACACGTTTGGGTTTTCAAATGTCACCATAGGTAATCTAGTCTGTACATATTTCAACTTGAAACACAGTAACCCACAGCTTTCATTACACTTCAACACTGTACAGCCTGATGTAAAGGTCTTGTTTGAACGTTTCATTATATGATATGAAACTGAAATTGGGTATTTGGCCCATGCATACGAAGCGCTTTTGATTTCAAGGGCCCTGTTTTGGTCGATCGGATCACGAGTAGACGAGGGATTCACACCTTTTGTTTTAGTCTGTCTCTTCTGTCCACTTTTGACCACTTCTGTTCTTTTGAGGGGAGGGCTTTTTCTGATTTTTTAAAATCTAATATTGTGAAATAAGCTTGTGCAATTTACATATGAGCCAAATGCCTTTTTTTTCCCCAAAGCTATATTTAAAACGTTTGCTGCATAGATAAAAAAAAAAAAAAAATCTGCTACATATATCAATCATAATTTTGCTGGGAGAAGAAAAACAAACAAACATTAGTCACCTATAAGTTGCCAGCAAATCCTTTAATTTTTACCAGTATTCAGAACAGAATAAGATACAAATCAGAAAATGCAATTAGCTACAAAATTATAGTAATTTTATCAAAAAAATTATATATACACTACCAGTCAAAAGTTTTTGAACAGTAAGATTTTTAATGTTTTTTAAAGAATTCTCTTCTGCTCACCAAGCCTGCATTTATTTGATCCAAAATAAAGCAAAAGCAGCAATATTGTGAAACATTTTTACTATTTAAAATAACTGCTTTCTATTTGATTATATGTTCAAATGTAATTTTTTTTCTGTGATCAAAGTTGAATTTTCAGCATCATTACTCCAGTCTTCAGTGTCACATGATCTTCAGAAATCATACTAATATGCTGCTCAAGAAACATTTATTATTATTATTAATATTTAAAACAGCTGAGTGCATTTATTTCAGGATTCTTTGATGAATAGAAAGATCCAAAGATCAGCATTTATCTGAAATAAAAAGCTTTACCATTCAAAAGCTTGGAGTCAGTATTTTTTTTTCTTCTAACCTTTATTTTGCAAGGATGCTTTAAATTGATCAAAAGCGATGATAAATACATTTATAATACAAAATATTTCTCTTTCAGATAAATGCTGTTCTTCTGATCTTTCTATTCATCAATGAAACCTGAAAAAATAATACTCAGCTGTTTTCAACATGATGATGATAATAAATGTTTTTTTTGAGCAGCAAATCAGCATATTAGAATGATTTCTGAAGATCATGTGACACTGAAGACTGGAGTAATGATGCTGAAAATTCAGCTTTGATCACAGGAATAAATTATATTTTACAATATATTCAAATAGAAAGCAGTTATTCTAAATAGTAAAAATATTTCACAATATTACTGCTTTTGCTGTATTTTAGATCAAATAAATGCAGGCTTGGTGAGCAGGAGAGAATGCTTTAAAAAACATTAAATATATTACTGTTCAAAAACTTTTGACTGGTAGTGTATGATTATAAAATAAAACAAATTATAACGGCATTCGTTATAAACAACACAGGCCTATAAACAGCTAGCAGTGCTATAAATGATATGTTGTGTGCGTGAGAGGCTATGGCACGATCACAGAGATTTTCCATATCACAGCGGAAAAAATGACAATATTCTGTGATTTTTGGTCATAAAAATAGGAGTAAGACATCATTTGATGCTGTAAAGCGTTTACTTTTATTTATGTACACTCACAATAACAACAAAACTGTGCCTTTGCAAAATAAAGCAAGCAAACAGGATGCGCTTTCAGCCGTCTCGGTTTCCTTAAACTTGTGGTACAGCAGTAAAAATGAAACAAAACAGACTTTATTTATTTATTTTTTTTGTTCATTTTGTTTTGTTAATTCGTTAAGTATTTAACTGAAACACATTTTGTGTAGGCCTGTTTATTTTATTCCTATCATATGTCATTTTATTCTGATTTCTTTTGTTGTTTAATGCGCATGCAAAACTAAACCACTGAAGAGAAAAACATTTAGAACATTTAAAAACATTTAGAAAAACACCCATATTTTTAATGGGTCACATACACTTATCCATTGTAACTTAAATCTAATTTAACATTCTAATGTTGCCGGTTAACGGATAGGAAATGATCATCGGAGAGCAGGCGGTCTTTAGTGGCTGTTTTCGACTACTTCTGGAAGTGCTCAAAAGTGGGCAATCTCGAAACATTTAACACCCCTTTCACGCCTGTATTTAGCGATGTCCGCTTGTGATCAGATCGACGGAAACGCATCTTAATACCCGGTGTAAACAGGGCCTTGTACTCTAGTACTTATGAATTTACTATCAAACTGCGTCTACCAATGCGATCTTACTCATTACGCAATGAGAAAAAAAACGCTCTCGGGGGGTGATTTTTAATAGCGTTGTTTTGGATGGAGCAATCATGCTAAATGAATGGAGACGTATTAGATTGGAGGTTCAAAGTGGATCCCAAAGGAACTACTGCTTTTTATGGCTGTCTAAGGCTAAAAAATAGCCCATCAGTATCAGATTTATTCTGATGTTTAGAAAAATGTGTTTTGGAATGTAATTGTGTTTACAATACTAGTGTAAACTCTACATACTAAATGAACTAAATCCATCGCTAAATTTGGAAATGCCATTCATCATTGGGTTAATATCTACGGTTTTTATTTTGCTTTCAAAATGGAGAAAGTGCCTGAGTCCAGCATTCATTCCTGAATGATTAGAGAGGTGAAGAAATTTGGGTGAGGTTTTTCAAAGTAATACTGTTCATATCATGTTGGAGTGTCTATTTTTCTAGTGCATTGGATATATGATGTCGATTGAAAGGTCGGGGCATGTTGAGAAGATGATCTGTAAAGGACGTTTCCTCAAGCAAGGTCTTTCATCAAAGTACTAGCAAATTGGAACATTTTTGGCATGTGTATATGGTTTGCAGCTTTATTTTGTTTATGGAAATATGCAAGATATTGCATCGAATGCTGTAGGTGGGAACTACATTTCCCATGAGGCAGTGCTATGGAATGTACTTGCGGGATAGCTGGGAGGTGTAGGAACCGAAGGTTTGAGTTTGCATAACTATATTCTTTCATTTGAGTTGCATTTTGTTTTATCCGTGTTAAGTGCTCTTAATTTTTCTTTGCTGTCTTTAGGGAAGTTAATGAATTTTAACTTTCATTTGCTTTTATCATCTCTCAAAAATGTTGTAATTCAGATCAAAGTAGGCTTTGATGAACTACCTCACTCTAAATTTCTACCGTTTTTTTTTTTTTTGCGACGTAGCTGCCCATAAGATAGATGTTAATACGGATTTCATTATTTATTTATTTCTAAAGTGAACTATTGTCAATAGTAGGCAACGTATAGTTTTGTACATTATGTATACTTCACCTAGAAGTCAAAGAATTGAAATGTAAATTTGATCTTTTTTGTTTAATTTTACTTTGTACTCATTTTTTTACAGTTCATGTGCAATACCCACTGCTGTCATGCTAGTTGTAATCAATAGATCTAGACTTATTAGTTGTATGTACCCAGAGGTAGAGATATGTTTGGTACTGTCAGATAAATTCATGTTTTTTTGTCATTTTTTTTTTCTTTGGCTTATATTGTCAATGTTACATAACCCATCTTACCAAAAATGAAAATCTGTGGCAGATGTTTGCAAGTTGTTAGCCACTGGACTTTGATCATCCTGGTAAGTCTGATTTAAAAGCATCTGTAAAATATCATGAATTACCAACGTGTTAAGATTTGGTGCTGGTATGTAATATTTGCTAGCAATGCCAGCCCATCAGTTAGTTATAAATTGCTAGCTCTGTGTGCACTAAACGGCATACAGACGCTGAGAAGTGCACTACTACAAAGAATGCGCTGGGATCTTATGAAACCAATTGTACATGTACTGCAAATAAACACCAGTTTGAATCAGAACCGTCTCCTCTGTCTCATTGCTTTTACACACACCAGTTTAATATACATGACATTTAAAGGGTTTCTGAATTAAGACTTTATAAGACCAATTAAAGAAACTGTAAGAATTGAATGGTTTGCAATTTCGTAAATATACCATTTGGATCGGAAAATTGTATTTATACATTTTTTACTTCATCAGAATGGTACAAAACTTGGTAAAGGTTTTGGCGTTAGGCTTTTTGTCTCATTTGAACAGTTCGTGGTCAAAAATGACCGCATTGGAAATTTCATCTAGTGGAAACGTTTGGTACTGCACCCAAAATCTTACTGAAAGCTTATTTTTTGAGATATCAACCTCAAATTTGGAACACAATTTGTTTAGATTGGTGCAGTTTTAGAGTAAAACATATTTTGGAAAATATTAACTCTTCACTTCAGCAATAATCTGCCAAGTGTCTTCTTTAAAAAGAGACCAAATTTAAGTCTGTGCTCCAAAACATTCAAGATTTATTCCCGTTTAAGTTGGAAATGTCATTTTCAGGTCTATGCCCAGCAGAGAGTGGTTAACAGGTAATAAATGGATCATAACTATTCCATAAATATAATTTAGTACCATAACATCCCCTAAAAATACAAAATATTAAACCATTACCAAACTAAAATGTTTATTTCATTGAAAAAAAAAAAAAAAGTTTTTTTTTTTTTTACCACTACACAAGCAGCATTAGAGGATTAAAGATGTTTGGATATTTATATTGAAAAAAAAAAAATACTAAGGAAGAGTGCATGCAAAATTTAATGTGTGGAAGAAAAATAATGTCAGATGTCTTTGAAACAAAAAAAGCATGTTAAATAGCACTAACTGAAAAAATAATGCATTGCATTAACAGTGCTTGCATTTTAATGCCTTGTATTTTCATGGCTTGCATTTTTAGGGGCTGAAATTCAACATAGTTGTTTATTTAAGCTGTGAATATTTCAATTCGAAACATTTTACACACATTTTCATAATTAAAAATGAAATAATTCATATTCACCTTCCAGAGTTCACTTCCGAAATATTCAATCTGTTTAAAAAATACGATGTATAATATTAGGCAATTTTCAGTCAATTTTATTTTGTCTTATTTCACAAGAGGTACATTCCTTTCCGTTCGTTTCATTTAGTCCTTTGTGAATAATTACATACCACCACAGTGACACTTGGTAACACTTCAACACAGCACAGAAGTCTAATCGTCATGTATGACTGCAGTATAATAGTCTAATCATGATGTATAACATCTTCACATACTCTAAATATGCATTAAAGTTTATTGTAAAGGCTGTTGTTCTAGTAAAATCCAAATAATATCCAAATGGATTGATAACTGAAGCATGTTGAGCAGCAAGAAGCACTTTGCTTGAGGGCACAGTGGTGATGTCCAGTTTCTGGGTCTCTTCTTCTTGAGATTGAACCTGAAACATTCATATTAGCAGCCTGGAAAGTTAACCGTTAGGCTACGGCCATCATGCTAATATATAATATATGACCTACTATGCAGTCAGAAAACAGTTCAGAAATTGAGCTGAGTCTACACAATCTATGACAGCTTTTGACCACTCACTTTAAGAAACATCCACAGAGCATTTCTAGTCTTTCTATACACTTAAACAGTGTAAAATAAAATTCGATCAATTGACAAAAGTCACATTTCAA